TTGAAGAAGCTTTTGTTGTGCGTGGTTTGTGAATCTCATTGACTGCTAGCAGAGATGGTCATGTGATTGTGCACACATCTATTTGATCTCCCATGGGGTTGGGGTGTATATTGCGCAAATGTCATTTTGTGCGCCCATGTGGTTGGGGCGCATATTGCGCACCTTAAGCTCGTGCGCCCATGCGTTTTAGGGCGTCATATGTAGTTTCCATATATTTAGGTATTTAGGGGAAGCATTTCCCTCTCACTGTACAACAATGTTTCTCTCCCCTTAACTGTAAAATAACCCCGTTTCTCTCCCTTCGGCTGCAAGTCAAAACTTTCCTTTCCTCGTTTACCGGAACGTAGCACCGCTTTTCCCCGCTATATGTTTATTTTCTTCCAACCTTTGGGAATACGACCTTGGTAACAGCACAAAGAGTTTGTCTCTGGCTCACCGCCATCTTGCTGACGTCATGATGCAGGCGCGTGCGTCTTTCAGGTGTCTTGGGCCGCGTATCTAAACGTTTGACGCTGTCCCGCCGTAACCCGACCCCTTATTTACACAACTTGGGAACCGTTGGACACATGCAGCCTCACTTGTTATACTTGGAGGTCACGATTCGCCGATTATACGTCCGCATTAGGCAATGCGAACAACGTCGAGACACCCGACAATGAAAACTTTAAAAAACAACCCCAAAAACACCTTTTATTTAAAGCTCCGTTACATAGCGATGGCAGGTGCCGTACCACAAATACAGTGGTACCGTACCACAAATACAGTGGTACCGTACCACAAATACAGTGGTGCTTTATTTTGTCCAACAGATCTTGATGCATTCTCACGTTGGCAGTATGTGACTCGAAGCTGTTTGTCCGGCGTCGGGGTGGTGGTATTTAATAGAAAAGTTACTTTCCCCATAGGCAGAGAGAATATCTTACTCCCCGATGCCGTACCAGTGATGCTAAACTTCCTTATTCCCCGATGCCGTACCAGTGATGCTAAACTTCCTTATTCCCCGATGCCATACCAGTGATGCTAAAGTTCCTTATTCCCCGATGCCATACCAGTGATGCTAAACTTCCTTATTCCCCGATGCCGTACCAGTGATGCTAAAGTTCCTTATTCCCCGATGCCGTACCAGTGATGCTAAAGTTCCTTATTCCCCGATGCCATACCAGTGATTCTAAAGTTCCTTATTTCCCGATGCCATACCAGTGATTCTAAAATTCCTTATTCCCCGATGCCATACCAGTGATGCTAAAGTTCCTTATTCCCCGATGGAATACCAGTGATTCTAAAGTTCCTTATTTCCCGATGCCATACCAGTGATTCTAAAATTCCTTATTCCCCGATGCCATACCAGTGATGCTAAAGTTCCTTACTTCCTGCGCCATACTAATTGTTCTAAAGTTCCTTACATATGTCACATCAATGATTCTAAAACTCCTTATTTTTAAGCCATACCAGTGATTCTCACAAGGCCATAGTTGTTTTGGAGTTCCATACCATTTTTTTCTGAAGTTCCTCAATCATTATGACATTTTAATGGCTCTTTAGATACTTAACTCGTTATATCATACTAGATTTATCCTACAAGACACAAAGTGATCTGATATATATATATATATATATTGGCCCACACTAATATATGTACGTCTTTCATTCTAGCCGACAAGTGTTGTTGAACTTGAATGTTATTTAAGTAATGGAAACACATAAGCTAAATTATTTGTTTGTTTGGGCCAACGAGCCAATACCATCCAAAAAAACAACAAAAAAAACCCAACAGAAATGCATAATAAAGATTTGACCTTGCCACGAAAACAGTCAGTGACACACGATGAAGTTGAGTCTGTCCGTGAAAACAAAAGTCAGGTGTGCAACATGAAAATGTGCATGTCTGTGAAAACAAAAGTCAGGTGTGCAACATGAAAATGTGCATGTCTGTGAAAACAAAAGTCAGGTGTGCAACATGAAAATGTGCATGTCTGTGAAAACAAAAGCCAGGTTACAACATGGTTACAACATGGCAGTGTGCATGTCCGTGAAAACAAAAGTAAGGTGTACAACATGGCAGTGAGCATGTCCGTGAAAACAAAAGTCAGGTGTACAAGATGGCAGTGAGCATGTCCGTGAAAACAAAAGTAAGGTGTACAACATGGCAGTGAGCATGTCCGTGAAAACAAAAGTCAGGTGTACAAGATGGCAGTGAGCATGTCCGTGAAAACAAAAGTCAGGTGTACAACATGGCAGTGAGCATGTCCGTGAAAACAAAAGTCAGGTGTACAACATGGCAGTGAGCATGTCCGTGAAAACAAAAGTCAGGTGTACAAGATGGCAGTGAGCATGTCCGTGAAAACCAAAGTCAGGTGTACAACATGGCAGTGAGCATGCCCGTGAAAACAAAAAATTGATGTACAACATGAAAATGAGCCCTTCTGTAAGAACAAAGTCAGATACACGCACAAGGATATTAGGCCCATTCCACCCAAACAAAGTCAGTTGTGCACATTGAAGATGGGCCCTTCCATGAACAAAGAAACCAAAAACAAAGTCATGTTTATTACAATGAAGATAGGACCCTCCCACAAAATCTTTAATGTTTTTTTTTCATACAGGAATTATTTGGAACAGCCCATTGTGCAAACAGTCGGTAGGAAAACGTTGTGTTGAAGACATGTGAATATCAAATAGTTAACAAGGTGGTGGCAAGAATACTGGCTCGTGAAACAACTGGTAACAGGAAACCGGACACGCAAAAACCAGATCAAAAGTGCACATAAACATGGGCGAGACTGACCGGTGGCATTAAGGCGATATCAAAATGTGAGCATTAAAAGGTGGTGCCACGACAAGCAGGCCAGACATGTGTCCCTTGGTGAGATGAAAGGGACTGATAGGTCTTTATGGTGAGACGACATAGACAAAAATGTCTTTATGGTGTCTTGAAATAGACATTTAGGTTCTTAGGTTGAATTGAAATGGACAAATATGTCCTTATGGTGAGATGAAATTGACAGATATGTCCTTAGGGTGATATGAAATGGACATATAAGTCCTTATGGTGAGATGAAATTGACAGATAGGCCCTTAGGTTGAGATGAAATGGACAGATAGGTCCTTATGGTGAGATGAAATGGACATAAGTCCTAATGGTGAGATGAAATGGGCAGAAAGGTCCTTAAGGTGCGATGAAATGGACAGAAAGGTCTTATGAGATAAATGGGGAAAAATTTGTATTGTGAGATGAAATGGAAAAAGAAATATTGGTGAGATGCAATAGAAAATGTCTTACTGTGGTATGAAAAGTAATTTTGTGGGCTGGCATTTGGCAAAATGTCATATGGTGAGATGAAATGTACAAAATTACACGGTCCCATGAAGTGCAAAAAATCACTTGATGAAAATAATTGTGAAATAGTATTGCAGTGAGTTGAAATGGACAAAATGTATTATGGTGAGATAAATTGATGAGATAGACCTGGGATGAGATGTAATTGAAAAAAATAAATCATGGTTTAGGATGAATAATGGCCGGGGTTGTGGTTATATTATATTTGATATCGATAAACGGACTCTTGAGATGGGATGAACCGGTGGACAAAATGCGTTGTTGATATTGAGCTTACCATATGGTCGTGCCTACACATTGACTGACATAGAGCGATTCATTGACTAGTTGGTATAGGACAAGGCATTCGAGGAGGGTGGCCAGTAGAAAAATACGTCGAGTTGAACAGCATAAATACTTGATTTCCTATTTTGTCTCAACTGTAACCAGAGAAGGGTGATAGTAGTTGATGGACATTTTGTTTGAGTTACCAATAGTATTAAATGGACATTTGATATGGTTTGTTTAATTTAGAAAATAGTTGTACATGGACATTTGATATGCTTTGTTTAATTTAGAAAATAGTTGTACATGGACATTTGATATGCTTTGTTTAATTTAGAAAATAGTGCTACATGGACATTTGATATGCTTTCTTTAAGTTAGAAAATAGTTGTACATGGACATTCGAAATAATTTAAGGTACCAATAGTTATAGATGGACATTACAAATACTTTGTTTAAGTTACAAAAAAGTTATAGATAGACATTACAAATACTTTGTTTAAGTTACGGATAGTTATAGAGAGACGTTACAAATAATTTAAGTTACCAATAGGAGTAAAGGGACATTAACTTTTTAAAAATTAACAAATTTTTCCTACAGTGGTGGATTCATAAACAGCATTAGAGTGCACGAATTTTGGTCAAACCCTCTAAAAACAAGTTTAAAAAAAAATACCTTCATGTTTTCCGATAACGAAAGGAGGAAAGGAGGGAGGGAGCGGGGGGGGGGCACACTTGCTAGTGGTACCGCCCTAAATCCGACATTGTCTCCGTGTATTGTAATTTTTCAAATATCTTAATAATCATTATATTGATATGTATAGATGTCTAAGATTGTTTGATGAGAAAAATACAGTGACTATCGTCCCGGTGAAGTGCGATACTTAGATGTTGCCATTTTAGTGACTTTTAAAAATATATGAATAAGTCTCCAGTCTGGTGTTTAAGGCCCATTGGGTAGTCAGTGTTACAATAGTCAATGTGACCAATTTTCTAGTCAGTGTTGTAATGGTCAGTGTGGTCAATTTTCTAGTCAGTGTTGTAATGGTCAATGTGGTCGTTTTTATAGTCATTGTAATGGTCAGTGTGGTCGTTTTCTAGTCAGTGTTGCAATAGTCCATGTGGTATTTTTCTATCCAGTGCTGTAATAGTCATTGTGCTTAATTTTCTAGTCACTGTTATTATGGTCAGTGTGATCCATTGTCTAATCAGTTTATGAGTGCTTAATGTGGTCTTGTCAGTGTTGTCATTTACAACCCATTGGTTGGTGTGGTCCCTTGTTTAATGCAGTCTTATCACTTAACGGGCCACATAAACAACCTGACTGAAAGACTCGCCTCGTAAAGGACTAATCGTTGGTCCTGGTGTTCGCTCGCGAAGAGTCGTCCCTCGATATTTTAAACATCAGCTCCGACCAACGCTGCATGAGCGCCGGTATGGTGTAAATGAGGGGGTTGATGGCCGAGTTGAGAGGCATGATGAGCACGGCCGACCACGCGTAGGCCTCCATCCCCAGCTGGTGTCCGTTGAGAGCGAGCAGCCCCATCACGCCGATGGGGAACCAGCAGCAAAAGTTCGAGATGGCGATCAAGGAAAGGTGCTTGGCCACCTCGAAGTCCTGAACGCGGCGATAGCTTGTGTTTGTCAGGGCCCCGTGGCCCATCCTCATGTTGGCCATCGTCCGGTAGATGATGAGCTGACCGACCGCGATGATGATGAAGAGAAACAAGTTGAGGAAGATGAAAACCGTGGTCGAGAACTCCCATCCAGGTAGACGCCGGTTCATGAGGGGCAGTCCCAGGCACATGCCATTAGAGCAGTAGGTGGTCCAGTGTTTGAACGGGGGCAGGAGCGGCGTGATGGCAATGGTCAGTCCTATCACCCAGGCCAGTGCGCAGCACGTTATTATCACCGGCCCTGACATTTTCAGCTGCCCGAACGGAAACTTAATAACCAGGAACCTGTCGATCGTGATCAGGAAAATAAAAAAGGTTGACACCTCACTGGAGAGCGTGGAAAGAAACCCGGCTGTTCTACACGCGATGCTGTTCCTCCACTCCATTTCCCCCCACACGTAGGTTCCTCTGTAATAGGAATCCGCCACGGCCACGATGAGCAGGTAGATCCCCATGAACATGTCTGATATGCTGAGGTGCATCACGAAATGGCCGTAAGCCATCTTCAGTATGTTTCTGTCGTAGGTCAGGCGGTACATGATGACAACGATGTTTCCGATGACGGCCAGGCAGCCGAACAGCCACAACAGGACTCGCAGAATAGGTTCCCCCATAAGGTCCGAGCATGAGGAGAACGGATCCTGTGGTGCGTCGCACACATACATGGGCGTCTTGTCGTTGTGAAGCTGCGGGCAGCAGAGCTTGAAGGTGTCCGTGTAGAAATGGGACTTGACCGTCATGAACTTGAACGTGTTGGCGTAAATCTGTTGTACGTTCAGCTCCCGGAGGTCCAGCACTTGTAGGACGTAGTCTTCCGGGAACATGTCCTGGCGCATGTCCGAGATTTTCGTGCCGCGAAGGCTGAGGTCCTGCAGGCTGAGCAGCGGCACCAGCAGCGTGTAGTGTATCGCCGTGACACTCGTGTGAGACAAGTCGAGGCTGGTCAGCTGTGAGACCATGCCGTACGTGTTAAAGGTGTCTGGATGCAGGTAGCTGAGCCCGGTATTTCTGCTGAGGTTCAGTGACTTGAGACTCACCATGTACCTGAAGATGCTGGTCACCCCAATACTGGTGATCTCGTTGTAACTCAAATCGGCGTAAATCACTGACCAGAGGTCATTTTGAGAGTAGGTCACAGCGTCCACGTGCGTGATCCCACAATGGGACAAGTACATTTCCATCAAGTTATAAAAGTGACCTTTAGGAAATTCTGGAAACACAGAAGATATGTTCACGCCCGTCAGATCCATGTAGCGTGTCCTATGGTCAATAAAGTTCAAGTCATTTAGGGGAATGGACAAATCATAGTTTTTGACCACCACGACAGCGCCCAAACACTGGAACCCGCTCCTGCAGGTTACCGCGCAGCTGATCTCATCGTCTCCCAATGGACAGTGGGGGTGTCCGTCGCACACGTTGTCGGGGTGCAGGCACACACTGGAGGAGGCGCATTGAAAATTGCCGGCACAGTTTAGTGGCGCGGTCTCGTCCTCGCCGTTAGGGCAGTCGTAAACGCCGTTTTCAACGTAGTGCAGCGGGATGCAATACGACCGCGGACATTTTATGTAGCCCTCGGGGCACACGAAGTTGTCGCAGTTCTGGAGATGGACCAGATCTCTACAACCCAGCAAGCCGTCGTACCTGTCCTTGATGTAAATACACTTTGGCGCCCAGTTGTTAAAAATTTTAGAAATGTTGTCGGTTTGTGTGTAGCATGTGGTGGCTTCTAGTTTCCCCAACGTCTCATCCAGGGGGCCTTCTGGTCCGGTGCAGTCCACCACACCGTCCCCGAGCATGGACACGTAAGTGCACTGTGTACGGTTGCAGGTGAACACGCACTGGGCGATGTTGTCATCAGGGACCGACGCGATCTCGGCCTTGACGTCGCCCCGGGACGTACACGCGTTGCAGTCCACCTCGCCGTCAGCGAACCAGTGCTTGGGCAGGCAGCGCCCATCGTGACACAGACCGTTCCTGCACTTGATGCACTTCTCCTCATCGCTCTTGTCCACGCAGTCGGCGAACAGATCACACTGGGCGTCCAGCGGCACACACTGACCGGAGGTGCAGGTGAACTCCGTGAGGCTGTCACACTTGCGGTAGTTGCAGATGAGCTCGTCCCGTTTGTTCTGGCACTGGCTCACATGGTCGCACACCATGGCGTAGGGGATCTTGGTTTTGGCCGCGTCCTCGCACGAGAACAAAATCAGTCTGTCGGACGGGATCCGGCTGTTAAACACGTGGTCCTCGATGACGTTGAAAGGTGTATTCCTGTCACCGGTGTGGATCACGCTCGACGTGGCGACAAGTGTCACGACCGGGCCGTACATATCGGAATATGTGGTCATCAGTCCCAGCTCGCCTCTGGCCACGGCCGCCCTCACGCTTCTATCGCTGGCCTTGCTGATGTTCGGCATTCGCCCGTCACGGAACTGAGGCGCCTTCTTTGATTCGCACATGAAGTATCGGGCGTTCTTGTAACCACAACCTATACTGAACCAGCCGTCGTTGATGTTCTCGTACTCGGTCCTGTTTTGCAGTCGTTTCCAGGCTTCTCGTATCGATTCTGCTAATATCGTCTCCGTGTACACGGTCACGTTAAAATTCCAGACGGTGCATCCTTGGATATGACCTCCGAGCGGCTCCCCGCCGTCCCATGCGGTGTACGCCAGGGGCAGGTCATTGATCCACCGGAACCGCTGCCCGTAGCTGGACACGTCTCGTTTCAGGCCTATGAACACATCGACCGAATCGTTGGAGTCGCCCGTGTGATTCATTATTGCATGAATCTTTGAGGGCAGAGTTTCTCTAAGAAAACTCAGTTCTTCTTTTGTTTCGATGGACACAAGTTCGGACTCAGCCGCCAGACATTTCTCACCTGCCTGGACCCAGTTAATGTCCACGGGGCTGTAGAACACCCTGTAACACGAGATGTTTGAGATGGCGTTGTTGTCGTCGGTCGCCTTGAACCTGAACCACTCGTTGTAGCACGAGAGGCAGAGCATGATGGGGATCATCTGGTTCTGGGTGAGGTCGCTGAAGGACGTGACCTCCACGAGGTTGTTGCTGGGGAATATGGACATGATGTGGACTCCGGCCTCGGACCCTACCAGGACGACCAGCATCTTCACGGCCGTGGAGTTGAACGCCTTCAGGTCGTCGCTTGGGTTGATCTGAAGGGGCTTAGCTCCATTGACAACCATGACGAGGACATGCTGGGCCTCCGGTCGAGCGCCCAGCGCGGAGTCGTTGAAGACATCCTGCATGGCGAACAGCGCCGCGGAGATGGGGAACGAGACGGGGATGGGGTTGAGCGCGTCGGCCTCCATGAAGCTCTTCAGGTCCTTCTTGTCGCTGAACGTGTTGAAGTCCACCCTCGTGTTCATGCGCGGCCGGTAGTAAGGGGCCGCCCCCTCGATAGTGGACGCGATCACGGCCACCCGGATCCGGGAGAGGGTCGTCTCCGAGGGAGGGATGAAGATATCGACCAGTTGGGAGAAGAACATCATCTGTTTCCTGTAGTGGTCGGTGCCGATGGTCTTGGGCGTGGCCGTGCCGACGTCGACGATGAAGAGGAGATCGATGTCCGCATTCTGACAGTCGGTCAGCGGGAAGTCCTCGGTCTTGCGGCGTACAACCAGGCCTGTGGAAAAAGGAGAGAAGATTTGGCTTTCTGTCTATCGTAAACAAAAAACGCAAACAAACCTGTTGGCCAAGGTCATATAACTAAAGCACTGGGGTTTGATGGTTCGCTTTAACGTACGGGGTTTGATAGTTCGCTCTAATGTACGGGGCTTTATTGGTTCGCTCTAATGTATGTTTTATGGTGGTTTACTCTAATGTAAGGGGGTTTATTGGTTCGCTCTAATGTATGTTTTATGGTGGTTTACTCTAATGTAAGGGGGTTTCATTTGCGTTGTTTTCATGGTTCTCACTATTTATGGGGCTTTTATGTTTCGCTTTAATGTACGGGGTTTTAATGGTTCGCTTTTAATTGCGTGGTTCTGATGGTTTGCTCTAATATACGAGGTTTTGATGGTTCGCTCTGATGTTCTTGTTTGGGACGGATCGCGTTTGCAATCGGTGTTCAATTACAAGAAGTGACCTTAGCTCTGCTGTTAGGTCTTGATAATTACCTCAACTAAGTTGAATCCATTTTTGTTGATTCCAGAATTGATTTTATTTTTAAACGTCCTTGTGGCACCCTCATTTTCACCACCCTCATTTCCACCACCCTCTGTTTTCCGTTGCTTCTAAAAACGTCTGCAACTTTGGCGTGGTTCGGGCAATAATGATGTTGCGAGAGTTGGGCAATAAATGGAGGACATCGTCTCCGCATGACCAAAACGGTGTCCACTAACGTTTACACTACAGCCAGCATTCGAAGTTTCCTTTGCGCTGCTGACGTCAGCGTAGCGTAGATTGCATCTACTTCAAGAAATTTTGACCTCCGGCACCGGGGACGCTATTAAGTCTAAAAGGCTCCCGCAGTAATGGCACGCACCACAGAAATACCAGGGGCACAAGACGGGTCACTTGGGTCGCTAACATGTATCAGCTCAAAGGTGTGCAGCCCAAGAATTATTGTATTGTTGTGAAATTGACGTCGAAATTGAAACACACTTAGGTGCAGGTCATGTCGTTTAATAGCAAGGGACAAAAGAAAAATGATTGAGAGTTCGTTGAAAAGTATTATATATGTATCTGCTGGATAACTTTGTATAGGCGGTGTGACGTAAACATCGGCCCATCTCTTGTAGACAGCTGTATTTAGTCAATTTAGTCTATCTCTTGTGGACAACTTCATGCCTTTTATCTGTTCTTGATAACTTTACATAGCTGATGTGTCGTCGACAACGATCCACCTGTTGTAGACAACTGCATTTAGTCTATGTCTTGTGGACACATTCAGGCATTATATCTGTCCTTGATAGCGTTACATAGCTGATATGTCCTGGACAACTGTCTATCTCTTTTAGACAACTATATTTTGTCTATCTCTTATGGACCAATGTATGCATTATATCTGTCCTTGACATTATATAGCTGAGATGTCGTGGACAACTGTCCACCTCTTGTAGACAGCTGGATTAAGTCTATCTCTTGTGGACCAATGCACGTATTAAATGTCTGTCCTTGATCACATTATATAGCTGACATGCCGACAGTTATTGTGGGTATCGTCTCTGTCACGGAAAATGTGTTTAGCCTATTTTTCAAATTAATCGCTTTTAGCCTGTCATAAGAATCGCATTTAACATGTCCGTTATCAATGAACTGCATTTAGCCTATCTCTCTCGGACAGCTGGAGATAGCAAAAATGTTAATGGACAGCAGGATATGCTCTATTATTATCAAGAAGCCCATAACATAATGTGTTGGTAAGGAGGGAAAAAAAAAAACCTCACCAAATTTCAAAGAAAGTTCTGAAATAATCAAATGTGTTCTAGAAATGGCGCTTACATTACAGTATGGTGAGAATTTAATAGAATCTTGTAAGATAATGTGACCATATCACAATGAGAATGTAGTAGAAAGTGGTAAGATAATGTGGCATAGAAACTTGAAAGATATAATAGCAGTACTGTAACGCAGTGCTTCTCAACCTTCCTAATGCCGCGATCCTTCAATACAGTTCCTTGTGTTGTGGTGACCCCCAACCATAAAATAACTATGTGTTTTCCTATGGTCCTATGGACCCCTGTGTAAGGGTCGTTCGACCCGCAAAACCCACCGGTTGAGAACCGCTGCTGTAACGGAAACACTTGGAATCGTTAGTTGTACGTACCTTGCACAATGGTCAAGAGCAGGAAGATCCCTGCGACACGTGTGGCCACTGTCGCGGTTCCCGATGTTTGACGTCTGTAGTCACCCATTGGATATGTTTAACACACGAGTCCACAACAGTCGGCCATTTTGGGTGTCGGGCGTACTGAAGCAAACTTGTCAGCGTTGTAGGACAAGATAAAAGACTTTTAATATCTATGTGACTTTGTGTATTGCCTTAGCCCAGAGTTTTGAAGTATATATATTTTTTTTCCCCAAGAATTTGACGTCATGCAAGGATTATAATTTTCGTTTAATTGCAAGTGCCGAATTCATCAATAACTGAAGAAGTTCTAAAAAATGGTGGTATCAGTTCGCTAGCTTTTGCTAATGTTGATGTTTTCTAACATTTAACGATTTCTATTGTCACTGTTTTTTTGTGTTTTTTTAAACTGGTTTCAGTTGCAAATTCCAGACTTGAGTCGCCTAACTTACTACCACAATACTAGTTCCACGATTTCTAACTTTTTGACCGATGTCCGATACCTGTGCGACTGCTCGTGTTTGATGTAAAAAAAAAAAATGAATCGTCTATCGCGCTCGTGATCATGTGACTATAGCTCAGTATCCACCGATTTCATTCACCACGCCTGCGACCCCAAGTTTATATCCAGCGGGCGACCAATCAGAGTGGCTGTAGTGTCGCCACGAGTCGTCCGTCCCTTACGCCTCAGTACTCACGTGTGGTCCTCGCGATGGACGAGAGATATCGCTCGTCTCCTCCCAGGCAGCTTCGGCGCCTTTCTATTGTTAGGTGTTAATTTTCCCGAATGACACGAGTCGCTTTAGCTTTTAAATTACCGGCAAAAATCAGGTACGTCGCGACGAGAGTGAAGAATTAAACTCATTACTTCCCGTTTTTGTTTAAAGACCACATCACCAAATCAATCAAATACTCTCTTACTAGTCCTACTCAATTTCTTACCATTCACATTCTCATATTTTGTTGGGTTTTTTTTTTCTACTTAAGTCTTCAAAGCTCTATAGTTTCACATTAACGAGACCTACATTCGTTTTCTTCCTCACATTTACGATACCTACATTGGTTATCTACCTTTTATCTCGCGGGTAGCGCTCACATTTTGGTTGTAGTAGACAACTTTAACTTCCGTTTCTAACCTCTTAGCTTCCGTTTCTAACCTGTCATGATAGAGTTGCGACACGATAAATCTTTAATTTTTAATATTTTTTTTTCTTGTCTTGTCCGCTGAAGGAGGCGATGAGCCGAAACGTCCTTTTGTTTGTCCTGTCTTTCCATTTCAAGTTTGAACATACCTTGTTCCACTGTTTCCTTCACATGGCTTGAACGCAGTCCTTTATTTTGCCACAACGGACAACGAAAAATAACGACGGAAGGAAAAAAGTAATGGGGAACTGTGAGCCCGAGTACAACAGCTTCCGTGTCTGCAGTCCAAGTCTTTATTTCGTCGCCAACAGCTTCCGTGTCTGCTGTCCAAGTCTTTATTTCGTCGCCAACAGCTTCCGTGTCTGCAGTCCAAGTCTTTATTTCGTCGCCAACAGCTTCCGTGTCCGCAGTCCAAGTCTTTTTTTCGTCACAGGGGGGTGTGGAAAAGCCCGGGAAAGATTGGAAGACGGTTGAAGTAGCCGAGAAAGTGTATAACATTCTTTTGTTCCTTAAACTCTCAAGAGACGCACCCTGCTGTAAACACAACTCTGTTCATTACATTCTGTTGATTGTGTCGCCATGCCTCGAAGCATCATTTCTTTTCTCCCACGCACAATTTATTGGAAAAGCTTATGGACACCACTGAAATATGTTAATTAAAATATGCGCGAATGATACACTTAAGTGTCAAATTTGCTTTCAGTTGGCTTAATAGAATTCCATTGGTTTTTCTATGCATTCCTGGTACTTCGAAAATCTTCAATCAGTCATGTTTGTTTAGATACAACTTAA